TTCAAAGATGTCATTCCACATTTACGACAAATCGGACTTTGTAAACCCTGAAAATATTGCGCCTTTTTTAGCCTTCTTTCAGCAAATACCAGGGTCGTATACGAACGCATCCACGAACAGTAATCTTACTTCGATCACGCGGAAAAAAAACAGTATTGAAAGCCTCTCTTGCTCGTACTAAATGCTGTGTTGAGATGATCGCCATTTTAATACCAACAGTTTAATGGCAGCTAAGACTGGTAACTACAGGGGGTGATTACGAGGCTGAAGGCTCGGTGCAACAGCTTTTTTTCGAGGAAATCTCAAAAATTTGTGTTGGTTTCCCGCGGAAAAAAAAACAAAACAAGAATGAAAAATGTCTGATCGCTACCCGGTTCGTGATCCTCCTCGTATATATTTACGAACAAAACAACGTGAAGGTGGTAATTAAGAATACCGCACTAATACAGTGGCACAAATTGAAAAAAGAAACCCCAAGCATTGCATACATTGACATGTTAAATGGAATCATCCCTGGCCATGCGTTCAAGATCAGTTGAGAGAGTGATTGAATTGAAGGCCGACTTCCAAAGTACTGTTCTGCGGCTTCAATCACAAATCAGATTCTGAACAGAAAAGGAAATTGTAAAAACAGAAAGGGACATGAGGAAAAATTGTGTAGGCTGACTATTTTGAAAAGTAAAGTGATCTCGGTGGAGAAGTGGGAAGTAGATCTGTGTGCCATTTAGTCAAAACTTGAAAAAGAAATCTGTAACTGGATAGCAAAATATGAAAATCTTGAGGAAGGAAAGGAGAAACTGGCCAAAGAAATGCTTTCAGAGATTGAAAAAGAGTATGCCAGAGAAAAGGAAAGAACAAGAAAACTGAACGATGAAAAATCAACAACTAAGTACATTGACAGGTTACAGAATGAACACTTGGGGATTCACAGAGGAGCTGGAATTCCAGACCTCAAAACAAAATAAGCACAAACAGAAACTTTAAAGAACTAAAGATTCGAGCACAGAAGGCACTTAATCTAGTAGAAATAATTGGCCTGGATTTACAGCTTTTGAAACTCAAAGACCCTAACAGTACTGATAGTTTTTCTATAGCCTTCTCAACTACAAATCCTCCCAATCCACAACCAGAACATGGTAGTGTGGCTTCCCCATAATCAAAATATAAATAACTTCATTGTGATGACGAAAACACAGTGGAGAGCATACTCTTTTTAATGTAAATTTTCACATTTGCATTCAATGTTGAATGAACAGTTACTGAGGCAGGTGAAATGTACGCGTACAAAGATGTATGTTCACTTACAAAGCAATGTGCCTCAACAGATTTGAATGTACACTAACAAAAATTTATGTACACAGCCAACATAGTAAAAATTTACAGATTTGAATGTACAATTTCAAAGATGAAAGTACACTTAAACCGTTTATGTGCCTTTTTAATAAGGAGTTGAATGGATACTTGTAACAAAGTTGTACATACTAAGAAAGATGAGTGCACCCCTGAAATTGAATGCTCTTACTGACCACTTACACTTGGCATATCCATCTCAAAATTTGTATAGAATATTTTCCACTGTCTCATGCAAAAGTCATAACTTTATTTAATCTGAAAAGAGCATATTAGGAGAATATTTCTTTTATTCTGAAATCACCTGTATGATTACAGACCAAATTGCACTCTGCTCAGTTCAATTACCAAAATTAATTTTATTTAAGTAGCTCTTCATGACTCAATCATTTAGAGCCACTTTAGTAAAATTAAAAGAAATCTTCCCCTGATATGCCCTTGGTAACAAAGTAGAAATCCCACCCATACCCATTTCATACTTCTTTGGGGACCAATAAATATACTTTTTAAGCGTCAGAGGGTAAAAAACCTTCATTCCTTGGCCATGAGAATCCACCCAGGAATCTCACCCAAGAGGAAAATAAACAGCATTGAAATCATCTTTTTCAAAAAATGTCCGTCTCTCCCCCGACACTCCCTTAGCAGCAAACAAGAAACGAAAAACACTCCCGAAAAAACAACCTTGCAGGCAAAAGTGACCGCGATTTCAAGTGCCGTTCGACAGCCACCCTAAAAGAACACACATTTTCCAGAATTATTGCAACGTCTAGGCTTGGCCTGTTGAATAGTTCCTCGTATCGAGGTAAGATACCCTCCTCTGGTTCCCATGAGGCTTCGTAAGGCAAGTAGCCCTTCCATTGCACCAAGTATTCTACCTAATTAAATGAAAGGAAAAAAAAAGCCCATGCTGATTTCGACTGAATTCAGTTAAAAATATATAAACACAAGCGATCAGGCGCGAAGACAGGCACTCGGCCAAACACTCACCGTTTCATCTGTTTCCCGTCTTTTGACTTTCCAATAAGTCGATCTTCTGTTCTAGATTAATTTCTTTGGCAGGACAAAGTTGGCATCCGCGGATGAAGTAGCATTTAACATCAAAAACTACCTTTTCGAAAGTTTCTCACAAGCGACTAAATACAGGAATGGCTCCGACCTGTGATTGGATGATAAAAATAGTAAAAGTTAATGACTTATATCTAAACTCCTTGCACGTGAGTATGGTTAACTGCGTGTCTCGAAGCGGAACAATGAAATATCAATGTGAAAACACCGATGAGTCAAACAAGAAATGGCTACTTACATAATGAAGAGAAGGCAGAGTCTAGCTTGTTCAGCGAGGTTGTTCAGCGATATTCCGGCGATGAAAAAGTCATCTGATGACTAGCTCCGCTGACTAAATTCATTTAGTCAGTTCACGCGCACGACCAGAGACTGGAGCCATTCCTGTATTTCACCGCAGACAGGAATAGCTCAAACTCAATTTTAACAATTTTTTTTCAATAATTTTTAAATAATTTTTTAAACGGTTTTTGAAAAAAGAAATTAAAACTAAACTAGTGAGCAGCGCTGTGCGAACAGTAGTTTTAAAACAGATGAAGAGCCCGATGAATGGATTTGTTCTTCATGTGAACAATAACCTAGAAAATCAGTTTTTCACGCAAAAAAAGTACCTCGATTTGTGGCCAAGCCATATTTCTCCAGCCGAGCATACTAAAACAAACAGCGGTCGCAGCGTCACGCAACATTGCGTGATTTTCCAAACGTGAGATGCAGTTGCCGCATTATTTTAAAACTTAGGAACTATATAGCCCTGTAGTAATAAAAGAGGGCTTCATTTGCAAGCACTGTAGACTTCAACTTAAGAAGAACCTAATAAGTCGCTCTTTGAGTTTTTATCTCGGTGTATGAAATATTTAGCTAAAACGAAAAAAAATTAATATACGCATAAGTTGGAGCCATTCCTGTCTGTGGTGAAATACACGAATGGCTCCAGTCTCTGGTCGTCCGCCTAAACTGACTAAATGAGTTTTGTCAGCGGAGCTTGTCAGCGGATGACTTTTTCATCGCCGGAATATCGCTGAACGACCTCGCTGAACAAGCTAGACTCTGCCTTCTCTTCATCATGAAAGTAGCCATTTCTCGTTTGACTCATCGGCGTTTTCGCATGGATATTTCATTGTTCCGCTTCGAGACACGCGGTTAACCATACTCACGAGCAAGGAGTTAAGATATAAGTTATTAACTTTTACTATTTTTATCATCCAATCACGGGTCGGAGCCATTCCTGTCTTTAGTCGCTGGTAAGATTCTCACGCGACACCATATTGGTTTAACTAAAGTGTTTATATTAACAGATGGACCAATCACATGCTAGCTTCCTTGACTGGCTGTCATGTGCGCCGGCGCGTAACAGAAATAAGCACCACCCACTTTGGTTCGAAATTTCTGGTTATGCTACCGATGGCTGTTCTGTACGTGAAACATCGTTTGGAATCCTAATGCGGGTAACAGCGGCCATCCCGGTCGACCCCCGGGCAACCCAAGGGCAACCCACGGGCTTAGCAGGGGATTTGTAGCAAAGGCATGCCCCGCACGCGGGGCATTAGAGCGCTTTTGCGTTTTTGGCAAAATACCCCGGGGCCATACCCACGGGATTTGCACGTAATCCGCTGTTATTTTTGCTTTCCTACAAGGCCCAATGAGCGTAAGAAGTGGGAGGTTTTCTGTAAGCGAGCGGATAAAAAATTCAAGACACTCGGCGATCCAAGAATCTGTTCATTGCATTTTAAGGAAAGCGACATCGAGATTTCAATTTCATACGGTTAGTTCGCATTCGAAGCGTCTTGCCGATAGGAAGAGACAGTGTGATGAACAACCGCAAGCCAAGAAAGTTTGCCCCAGAAAGCTCGAATTTGAGGACTCCATAGAGACTTGCGTGGATTTTAGTGCTGATGTGGCTTCAGTAAACCATGATCACTCGTACTTTTGCATCGAGGAACAGGCAACACCGACTATATGTTGCCCAGGTTGCTCCAGGGGTGGGGGTATTTGTCCCAATTTTTTGCCCTACCCGAGGGGCTTTAGCATGTATTTGTCACGGCAGCTGTGACAAATGCCTCTGGGTGCCCGGGGGTCGACCCCTCGAGATGGCCGCTGATACCCGCATAAACATGGATGTTAGTGAGAGGCTAACCATAGGTCTGTGATTAAGCCTCCTGTTTAGTTTTTGATCAAAACCTTTGGTTCGAAGCAAATTTCTTTTGGAATACCGATGATTATCATTTGTAACTGCCATAAGGACCTTGTTTGAAAAAGTTTCATAAAATTTTAAAGTTCCTCGTCATAACTTGGGCATCTCTTCTACAAGAACGTAACATAACGCCATATCAGATCACAGCTGAACCTCACCTGCCTTTCGTGGCAACTGAAATCATGTTTTGGTAACGTTTCTAAAACACATATCGCCGGAGAAAAAAAACGTTTTTGAAAAATTTCCAAAAAGTTTGATGTTCCTCGTCATAACTATTGATTGATTGATTGATTGACTAGAGCATCTCATGACGTAACACTACATCAGGTAACAGCTGGACAAAAGCTTATGCCTTTTATGGCCAAATATTAAGGATCCCTCGTGTAACATAATGGAGGTCGAGTACCTAACAAAACGAATTGCACGAGGAATTAAAGTCTTGGGGAACAGGATTGAGAAAGACGTCGCGCAAATGTGTAAAAGAATTTTAATACCGCTCACTAAAATAATCGGGGAAAGTGATTTCTCTGAAGAATCACTTGAGAGACTGAGAGGATATTTTAGAGACATCTACTGGAGTTTAAAGGTGCACTTGATGTTTCATTTAGGATATTCTAACGAGCTTGAAGAGATCGACGAACTCCTCAATGTGGTGGGTGCTTGGGGCGGCTTGACAAATGAAGAGATGAATAAACTACCAGACCAAAATCACGTAGTCGACCCAGGAAGCAAACTCGTGGAAATAGTAAGTACATAAGCGGCATATGTGTGTGTTTTTTCCGAGTTTTCATCCATTGTCATTTGCACCGAGTCAGGCTGTAACATACCTTGGCTGACTGTTTATCTAACCTCGCTGTAGCTGACACCAAAGGTAATGGTTTGCAGGAATGTTATGGAAAGGAAAAGCCGGACTACAAGCTGAATTATAGAATTCAGTATGAGATGCCGCTCAAGATTGTCTTTTTAATTAGAGTAAAACAACTCGGAACTATTTCCACTGTTCTTGAGCGGAATTTCGCTGAAAATTGTGACCCTCTTCTAGTAATATCTACCGTGTTTCTTCACCTATAAGCCGAGACCCTAAAAGTTAGAGACCTTCCAACAGACTCGTGTTATCCAAAAGAAAAAGCAAAACCATCGGCTATAAGCCGAGAGCGAAATTCTTGATTATAACCGGCCATTTGAGTGAGCGAACCTCACGGAAAAAATTGGGAAATGGCTCAATGAACTCAAAAGCTAATGAATGAGAATAAACACAAAAGAAAAAAAATAGGCAGTCTATGACTACATGTGCCTTGTGATATGAAAAATAGTATCATCTGCAATGACATGATACAACAAAAAGAAACTTTATTGTGAAATAAGTATCAACTGTAACAATTCATAATTGAACAAGAACTAAGTAATAAAAACATGTAATAGTATTTTCTATTAATAGTAATTATGCTATAAACTTTTATAATAAATTTTGTTACAACAACATGAAACTTTATTGTGAAATAAGTATCAATTGTAACAATTCATAATTGAACAAGAACTAAGTAATAAAAACATGTAATGGTACTTTCTATTAATAGTAATTATGCTATAAACTATTAGACTTGTAAGAAGAGTCTTATGGTCGTCAAGTAGAAATTTGACCAGACTCAAACTTCACTTTACAGCATCAGGCTTGTCGTGTATAATTTGGCACCTGAAATTGTGCAAACACAAGTTTGATGTTGTATGCATTGTATAGTTTACAAAGTCAAGTACGTTTGCAGGTTTTAGCATTTTCATCATATAAGTAATGTTGCATACAACGCATGATTTGGTAATTTTCAAAAATAAAGTCAACACAACTGCCTTCAGCAAGAGTGTCATTCAATTCCTTTGGTAAATGAGGTTGATGTCTTAAAACAAATCTTTCATCTCAAGAATAGCTGTGAAAGAGTTTGTTGTAGGAAAGTTGTTCTATATGGCTTTTGGAAGAAACTGATCTACGACATGCATAGAATTATCTACAACCATCTGTACTGTGCCAGCATTTAGGAACAAATCTTCTAATTGGTCTTTTGTGATATCGTCCAAACTAGTGCTCTTCTCAATAGATGCAAGAAAACTTTGTAGTGCATTATTAATACATGTGTAGGCCTGAAGTTTACCATCAGCCAACTTTATTGTCAGGGTACACACATGTTTGGAGGGGCATTCTGAAGATAGCATAGTAGTTGAGCATGAAGTACGGCTGATTTTGTTGTTCTTGGTATTTTCATCATATAAAGTATTGTTGCATACAATGCATGATTTGGCGATTTTTAGAATAAAGCCAGCACAACGACCTTCAGCAATAGTATCATTCAGTTTGTCTGGTACAAGGTTTATGTCTTTAAACATATCATTTGTCTCCACAATAGTTGTCAAGGGATTTGTATTGAGAAATTTGACATTGTTGAATGCTCTCACTTTGAGGTCTGTGAAGATGTATGTTTTTCCACTGCTGACAGCATGTATTGCATCTTCCCATAGTGTCACCTTAATTGATGCTGTTTGGTCAGCGATCAAACAGTCAACTTTTCTGAGTTGTTTGTTGTTCTTGAAAACTAGTTGGATCTGATCTTTTTTAATCAAAATTTTTTACCAGTTACATTCACTGTTTTGTATTCGTCGGCTTCAAGTGCCTCATTAATTGTTAGCATAGATGAGGAAACATGTGAATTATAGCAGAATTTTGCAGTAGTTGGCATGATTTTAGATTTTTTTGTGATTTTCAATTCTTCATTAGTTGTAGAAAAGCTAGTTGTAGAGATCCTCTTTGTCTCAGTAATTTTGACAGGAGATTTTTTATGGAACGGTTCAAGCAGGTTCTTTCTTTGTTACGGTTTGTAACATATTCCCCTGACTTTGTTGGTATCACTTGTTTGCAAGAAGAAGTCAAAGTATGGGGTTTGCTTCTTTTTAGTGTTTATTATCAGGCTTAAGGATTGTAGATATCCCTGTATTTCAGCATCTAAAAAAAAAGAATACAAAAAAAACCCGAGTTATGGACACACACGTATGCACAATAACATGGTGCTTTGGGCTCTACGAGCACTAGGCACAAAAATTAATTTGTATATTATATAAAGTTATTGATGAGTTTTATGATGAAAAGAATGGCATAAAATACCTTGAGAATCATTGCCGTTGGTTTGTTTCATTGAAGATGATCTGTTAAAAAAAGAATGCAGTGGTTAATTAATAATTAAAAAAAAAATTTAAGTAATTTAAATAATAATTCTGACATACTAAAATCAACAAAGAAAACTCATCAAAATAATACTTACGAAGATGCTAAAGGATTTTCCATTTTCCAAAAGTATGTAACCATAAAAATTATGCAGATGTCTTGAAAAGAACAACGATGCAAATTTTAATCAAAAGCTACAGTATTATCATGACTAGAAAGTGTTAATCATTTATTTTAAGCCTATGATAAATTCAAAAACAGTTTAGTATTGCATAAATTCCTTTGTGATCTGAAAAGTAACTTTCTAAAATTTGAAATGTAATTTGCGATTCAAGTAGGTTGGTGTATATATGATCAATGCAAGTATTGTTATCTGTGGTGGTACATTTAACTAATTGTCTGTAACCATGTTTATTTATAAAGAAATTTTAGAGTGGCAAACAATCAGCAACATTGAACTAGTTAATATTGAAATCACCAATAAAAAGATTGACTTCTGTTTGAAGTGAATCTAAAATACCCTGAAGTGCAGCACATAACTGTTCTATTGATTGTGCAAGAGGCCTACATATTCCAATTATTGAAATATGTGGTATAACAATAAATCTTAGAACTGTTATTTCTATGCCATTTGTATTAGGACAATATGGATATCCTGGATAGTAGTCAAGACAACTATAAACTACAGTTCCTCCATATGGTCTTATATTGGAAGGATTTCTTGCTGGTGCATCATTCCTGAACATGCTGTATTTGTTATCATGTGTTAAATTATACAAACTATCATCATCCAAGTTGCAGAACCTGCTTTCAGCAAAAATGCGTACATCAGTACTGGAGTAGTTGAGATTTGCACATACATCTTTGATATGCTTATGCAATTACCTTGCATTAAGATAACATATTTTCAAACTAATTTCTGGTACATTATATAATGGGTTTACTGCAAATGTCAATTGTCCTTCAGTTCTCAATCGATGCATTTCTGTCCGCACATCATCACTAACAGCTATTTTATTCTCACACAGGTCAGTCACATAGAGACCATCAATAGTCGTTACTCTACTTAATCCTACATAATGTATGTGAGGAATTGCCCTTCTTGTCTCAAAATTTACTACAATCTTTGTTTCAGTATCACCTTGAGATCTATGAATAGTTTTTGCAGCAGCAGGTCTCAATGGAAATTGTTTTTGCACAAAATGCACTGACTTGGATCTGCTAACAGCAAAATGTGTACTAGTAGGCTTAATTGGTGTCCATGTTGGTTCAATGCCATTAATATACAACTGTCTGTTCTCATTCCTTGTCTTTACTCCTACATCTGCATGATCAAACTGTACCCATATCATCCCTGAAGGCTTATCAGTATTATGTATTTGCATCAGTTAAATAACATTTCCTGCACCATTAGTCATGCCATCATCTGTCCTTGTATTCAGAGATATCTCAGTTCTTTCTCCAATTGCTAAGTGTAATATTGAGTGTAATTGTTTAGTCTTCCAAGAATTGCTCAGTATCTGTTTCAATATTTTGTCTCTAAGCTCTTGTGATTCAGCTCCAACTACACTATCATGAGCTTTGATAGAATATTTCATACCTGTAAGAGCATTGTCAGCTTTGCAGTTAAAATCATTCACTTTTGAATTTTGGATAAACGAATGCGGTGCATCTTTTGGATAGTTTGGATTACTTAATGCAATGCAGCAAGTCCTTAATTTTGCAATGTCTTCATTTGTATGATTACATTCTCTTACTCTGCTCAATAGCTCAGCAAATTCTTTGCTTTCCCTTTGCCTCATTATTTGTTTCAGTTCAAACATTTTGAAAAGCTTTTGCCACACATTAGGAGCAAGAATTCCATATTCATCATTGTTCATGTTCTTGAATACATGACCATCCATCACTGGTTGTAACTGGAATAAATCTCCAATAGCAACTATACTGACTGCACCAAAAGGTAATGAACTACCTTTGATATCTTTGAGTCTTCTGTTTATTTGAACAGTGAACATGGTATTTCCCACCATAGATATCTCATCAATAAATATCAGTTTAATTCCACCTAGTCGACATCGTATTGTGTTAAGTCTACTTGAGTCAAGGCTTTAGTAGTTTCTTAATGACTGACTTGCTGGTATTGCAAGAGCACTATGTATGGTATTTCCCTTAATATTATATGCCACTTTTCCAGTAGGTGCTAGCATCAATACTTTTGTTTGTGAAAAATCAATGCCAGGTCTAGTATTGTAATACTTCACTGTAGCCTGATATAAGACTTTAGTGACATGTGATTTATCAACACCTGCACCACCACTAAGAAAACAGTAAAATGGTTCTTCAGAGGTCTTAATCAGATGCAATACATGATAGAAAAACTATTTTTGTTCTTTATTCAAAGTTTGTACCATATGCCTGTATTCATCATCTGGTAATTCATTCATTGTCAGTGGTTCACTATTGTCTACAGATGGTATTCCTAAATCATCTGATAGATTATAATTGCCACTAAAATCAGGATGTAAAACCTGGTCCCCTTCTTCCTGATGTTGTCGTTCTATATTTTGTGTGCAGGGAGCTATATCATCATATCTGTCCTCTATTTGATTTATTTGTTGCTGGATTTCATTGAAATCTTCATTACAAAACAGCATATTGTTTCATTTGTTCTTTAATAACATTGGAGAGAACCATACATCTATCTTCAAATGATGCAAAGTTTCCTAGTAAATCAGTTTCCTCATTTCTCCATGGAGCAAACAGCATAAAAAGTTCACTGTAATGTTTTATGTTTTATTTTTTTATTTATGTTTTTTAATGTTTTTTTTTTTCATTGAGCTTTGCCCTTTTCTCAGGAGAATCAGTAGCTTTTCTATATTCTTTCATATATGCAGCTCTATTTTGTCTTTTGCTTTTTGGCGATAAATGAATATGCTCGCCCGATTTTTCATGTTCTATATCAGTAGAATTTACTAAAGGTGAGACTGGACATGTGGATACATAATGCATTTCTCCTATATGGTCTATATATACTGACTGGATATTTTCAGCATCATTACAAAGTGTTGGTTCAATTATTATTGTTTCTCTGAAAGTTTGACTTGATTCTACTATATTCATTTTTAATTGCATTGAGTCAGAAATTGCTTGTATAACAATGTTATCAGCCTATGTACCTTGGTGTGACATATTACACAGATATTGATTCCATGAAGTGCCTACTACACTTTCTATGAACCAATCAGGATTATCAGATAAGAATCTCACAGCTAGACAGAGTTTGATGCTACTGTTGTTTCGACGGCCCTACTACTCTTCTCTACTCGATCCGGCAAAATTTACTTGATAGCGACCTATAAAATGAACATGGTGCGCCTACTTGTCGCCACCGTTAACTGGCATAAATCACTACAATTTGCAAAAAACTCTAACATAACGCTCTTATCTTGTTTATTTATGATTTTATCAGCTGTTTCGATGATCACGTTAATTATGCTCTACCATATTCTAGCCAGATTTGAGTTCCAGTTTATATATCTTCTCTAACTTATTATATTAGTTGGGTGAGAAATTTAAAAAAACACAGAAATTCAAAGATGAATTCAAAGATGAATCAACCTCCGAAATACCTAGAAATGGGTTTTTTTTCCTCTTTGCATGACATCTAGAAAAACCTTTCAGGAATTACTGAAAACTAAAATGTCCAGATCCATCCATGATTCCTTTGCTGGCTGAAGTCAAAATATGGTTACAGTGGTCAATTTGATTGACAAGCTACATACTGATTTAGCTAACTGATCTGTTTTATAAGCGTCTCATCTTACATGCTAACATGGAGATTTGCTATTTTTAGTTAAATCGTTCGCTGGTGGAACTTGTGGGTTTAGTTAACGAGAAGACCAAGTCGTTCCCTTGCGTGATTGTTAAAAAGACATTTCATGTCACTTGCGGAATTGCAAGTTTTCAGATCCAGAAAATGAAGTTGATCTTGTTTTGTCACGTGCCGGCATCTTCGAGACGCCAAAAGTCAAATCAAATCACATCTCCGTGTTGGGTGGAGTCGTTGTTCCAATAGCAGATGTAGGGTGCCAAAAGAAATGTCCGGCCACGGTAAAGGTAGGGTTAAGTCGATTCCAAAAGCTGATAGGGGAATTAGCAAGTGTGTATCACAGATAGTACTCAAGATGTCTGGAAAATTCATACAATCTGGCTTCGGTAAGTAGGCTACTTACCACAGTGAACAAAATTACGCGTGACGCCAGGGTTAAGTTTCGATTAGGAATTGGTCAATAGGCTATCAAAAATTCAGACAGAGGCGGAGTTTTCTGAATTTCGCTATAAATTTCGCTATAAATTTCGCTATAAACCGCTATAAATATATATATATATATATATAGACCGCGATAAAATTATAAAAGGTGCTCAAGTCTTATCTGTGTGGGAGTGGCAACAATTAGCCTGTAAAAATAAGTCTATGTCCTTTTCTGTCTTTTTCAATGCTTCCCTCGCTCCTACAGAGGTTTCATACCAATATGAGAGCCGTGCCGCGTTTACATTGTACAGGTAGAAAAGGTTGTCCAGAATGAGTGTTTCGTTCTGTAATGAAAACCCCAATAGACTCACTCAGAAATGAATCATTTCGAATAAATTTTACGCAGGTTATTATGTGGCAACCGGTATGAACTCGTTCTTGTACAAAACTCATTCGGATATCATGTAGAAGGCCCCTAAAAGTTTTTATTCCCAGAGCATCACGCTTTGCTCGCCTGTCTGAATACTAAAAATTTCAGTAGCGTTGAAGCAACAACCCGCTTTTAACTGCTTCATTGCTGCTGAAACAACGATTAGTGAAGAAAGCACATATTTTAATATTTTAAATTCAACGTAAACAAAGATCTTTATAAATGGTAAATATTCACTTGTGTCGGTATCAACTATTACGTGACTAGTTTATGATATAAATGAGGGAGGGGAAAACACAACGCAAAACCTGAGCTCCTGTCAAAAAGTAATACCCAGGCGTAATATAATAATCGAAACGGCTAATAAAATCATAAATAAACAAGGTAAGAGTGATAGAATTTTTTTACAAATTGGAGTGATTTATGCCAATTAACGGTGGCGACAAGTAGGCGCACCATGTACATTTCATAGTCGCTATCAAGTAAATTTTGCCGGACTTTGAGTTCGTCTCAAGATAGAACAACACAAATACACAAGGAAATTTTTACAGTAACTTTATAACCATCCTTTGATCTTTTAAAAGCATGAAGCTCAGTAGATTGTGTCATATCGGTCATTGTTAAAACTGCCTTTGTTTTGAGGCTACTTTTCGACATAGGAAAAGTATGTCGGACAAAAATATTCACCAAAAAATAAATATTTCTTTGGCAGCTTCAATAACGACCGGGGATTAAGTTTAGATGATAAAACAAAGGATTATGTTTATAGAAATACCGTAGGTCTAGTACATTCGTTACATGAGGTCACACAACTCGGGTAATATTCACGGTGAAAATTTGCATATTTGAGCGGTCGAACGAAAAAAGTCATTCCTCGAAAACTAAAATATATTTTCGCAAAAAAACTACACCACAATTATTACAACATATTGGGCTAAAAAATATGAAAGTAGGAGAGAAAACGAATTTTGGGCGACTTGCCACAATATTTCAAATTTGTTCAATGGGTGCTGACATCCTATCTTAAATACTACTACGCGACTGCAGAAACACAACAGTTACTCTAACCTGACAAACGTTCCAATCTAGTATCTCTTTCGTCACTTTTATTTTTCTCATCATGCCAAAAGCACGCCGCTCTTCGTATACTATGGGTTTCAGGATAAAAGTTATCGCGGAGGCTAAAGCTGTAGAAAACAGCTCGAAAATCGCTCGAGATTATGGACGTAGCGAGTCCATGGTGCGACGCTGGAGACGAGACCAGGCGACTATTCTTTCTGGCAAGCTTAAGATGCCTGCAAAACGTGCAAAAATGGGCCGTTTCACTCCTAAGTGTCCCGAACTAGCCGAGCAAGCGATGGAGTGGTTTTCACAGCAGAGAGACCAAATATTTCATTTGTAATGTGAAACTAGACCCTGTGAGCAGGGTAACTGGGATACCTGGATGGTACTGGATTTTTGAAATCAAGTGTAGTGATACTACGGGTGTCGGACTAGTATAATGAAATAGTGAGCTCAAGTCTGGCCAGGGGCATACAGCTATTTCAAAAAAAGTTGTCATCTATTACTTGTGGGTGCACTGCTTGAAAATAGACATGACCTCTAAATTCCAATTTTCTTTTCAGTTTCGACTGTATTATTCCAGATCTTTCAGGGGGATGTGGTAATATATTGCATGTTTGATCATATTCAACTGGTATATAACATATTGCACCCATAATCTTTCTTTGTTGACCTTTGGGCATGACTCGATTTTTCAAACACTATTCTCTGTGGTATATCTGTTCAAGCTTCTCTAGAATGGACAACTCTGGTGATAGTTCATCAACATGTAATTTGTTACATACAGCTTGACATTGACAGTACAAATGAACTGATTTTCATCAAATGACTTAATGTCAGTAAATAGTGCTTGCTGAGTATTGTACATTTGTTTTTTTAACTGGATAACAGTTTTTCTATATAGTGTTCTATTACAAACAGAGCAAATATAATATGGACCTTCCCTAATCTTAGTTTGAAAAGGTGTGATCTTATGATCTAAATCATGTTGAAATGAGTTTCTATAGGCTTCTTTATTAGCTTGGACTTTTGATATAATCTTATCTTTGTCTGCAGGATCCAGTGTTTTATACCATTCTGCTCTGCCAGACAAAAGTGTTTCTTTTTCTTCAGGATTCAATGACTTATACCATTCTGCTTTTTTTTGTTTTTGTGCAGAATCAAGCAAGTTAAACCATTCTGCTCTCTTTTACTTTCATGCAGTATCCAGTGATTTATACCAAATTGCTCAGCTAGACAAAAGATTTTGTTTTTCCACAGAACCAAGTGATTTCTACCATGCTGCCGATTTGAACAAAAGCTTTCCTTTTTCTTTAGGATCCAGTGATTTATACCATTCAGCTCTGTGAGACAAAAGCTTTTCTTTTTCTGCAGGATCCACTGACTTGTACCATATTGTTTTAGCAGACAAAACTTTTTTTTCATGGCAGGTTCCATTTGTGCATAGCTTTCTTTTTTCCTTTTTGCATGTAGTTTTTTCTGACTATGAGACTTATGTTTTGCCATTACCTTTTGTCTTCCAGCATTTGACAAATTAGTTGAACAACATATAAATTTAATGCAGTATTCTACATCTTTACTCTGGAATTGTCTTTTTTTTTACAATATCCCCTAATAACTGAATAGGAATATCTATGTCATTCCTTTTTTCAAATATATCAAGTGTGCCATTAGGACTGAATCTTATAATAAAGTACTTAACACTTTTTGCTTTTGTTTTCATACTATTGTGCTGAAAAATACAGCTGAAGCAATAATTTGAAATGCATATTAAAACCCGGTATTATCCTTAGTATTATCTGTGATTAACTTCTGAAGCAATAATTTGCCTTGTTTCTCCAAATTAAAGGCAATATTAATATCTGCATCATATATTTGAAGTGTCCTTGGGAAATTGTTAATAGTCAGTGGATGGTTATCACCATGAGTTTTTCTTTGTAAAACTTGTTTGCATGGTCAGTGATTCTATCTAGCATCTGTGAATTCCAATACTCACAATATTTGAAAATGGAAAAACAAATGCCTTAAAAAGATGTGGCACAACAGGGAATATGAATGGTTGTAATTTCAGCATCTGCATGATTTGCTTCGAGGGGGACAGCTGACAACTGTTGATCAGAAATATCTGTCATATCACCTTGTTTTTCATTAGTATGTACACCTTTGAGTCCGAATAAAACATTTGGATTTTGATAAGGACCTTGAACATAGTTTATCAGCTTATTTAAGGTGTTAACTTCTGACAATACACAAGTTCCTTGAGGGTGGGGCATACCATATCAATCTCTACCAAGAGAATCAAATATCTTAAACTTACCATCACAATTACAGCAAACACCAACTGTAGTACTAAGGATTGTTAAAAAAAGGAATTATAATTTCGTCCAAGCAAAGCCTGCATAGCATTAGCAAATGACATATAATAATTGTAATATTGTGCTTCACAAGTACCATGTATAGTACCAGTATAGCTTGGACTATATTGAAGCTGATAATTAATATTAAACACTATTATCATTTCAGGTACTTCTGTTAACAATAACTAGAATTGCCTGGATAGACTAGATAGACCAGAATACAATTCATTACCAATGTTCATGATATTTACTAAGTCCATTGAGGATACAATACCATTCTCCCTACACACTGTGTACCAGCATTTAACCCAACCCTTGCCACATTGTCTTGACTAAAAGGAGCTTGAATTGTTTTTGTAGAATTAATAACAGGACCAGGGTTTGTCTCTATATCCCCAGACAGCTTGGACTTAAAATGATTTACCCTGTGATTCAGATTTTTATAAAAATTTGTTACTGAATTAGACCTCCATGCATTCGACTGCTTTGGCTTTGGACTTTTCATTACTTGTGGATATTAGTTCTGCATTTTCAGTATCCTGTATTTGTTAGACTTTCGATATTTTCCCCTAACTGCAGAATAGGAATAATTCGTTGTTCCTTAATTCTCACATCTGATTCCATGTGCATATATTTTTTCACGAGCTTTATTTGTAAAAAGATGCATTCGGGAAGACTTCGGTATGCTTTTTCTGATGTAGGGTCAAAGTAAACGTCTTACCTTCCAGGATTTCTTCAAAATACGAGAAATTCTTTTCTTTGGTATTTGCTGGGCTCGCGATCACAAACACGAATACCATGTGAACGAGGGCGATTAAAATAAACAAATTTGTCGTATCGAGATCTACAGTTACAGACTGTATTTATTGAAAATGCTTCATCATTGCTATCATTAAGCTTATTATGATAAACAATAACGGATAACTGAGAAGCATTCTCAAAGACGTTACATTCAGCGAAGCTATTCACGACAGCTTTTGTTAGAGACATCAACAACTTTACTTAGAAATTAGCCTCCAAGACAATTGCGCAAACAATAGGTAACATAAAAACATACACAAAAAACGCAGGATTTTGGATCACTTATTTATCAAAAAAGAATATCCATACAACTACACTGAAAACAAACATAAGATTCACCTTTCTGATCGTGAAATTAATACCATTCGCGCTGTTATCGTTGCTACGTTCCTTGGCATCAATTAAATCCAACATGGTGTCTTTCTTCACAAGCAGTTTGCATCCATTAGAGTTTTGTTCTTCAGTCTCACGGTAGTAGTGTTGTTCAATAGATTCCGTAGAGTATATGCAGTTTGGTTTCAGATCTAAGATTTTGCTTTTTTCAATAAGGGTAGAACGTTTTTCAACTAAGACATTGGCATACTTGGCATACAAGGCATACAAGGCTTTCATGGCTTTCAAGCGTTCGCGACTCAGTCCGTTCCAAAAATACCGCTCAATAACATCTTTTAGTGTGGATTGGCCGCGAACAATACGACTTTTGTATGTGTCTGTAAATATTTTGAGCTTTTGCACCATAAAGCTCCAGGTAATCGTGAACCAAAAACGTGGCACCTCCATCGCCAAAACAACAACCCCAGAACAAGTACAAAATGGCCGACAAAAGAGTTTTATGAGCAAAAATCTCGTGGTTCGTCATGTGACCTGGCCCTGTCCGTGCATGACAACGTCAATCATCGTCAAGATAACACACGTGATCAGCATGTGAACATTTTCACCCTCATTGGATCAGTTAGTTGTCATAATGTTGAGGGCCCAATGACCACTGGGTACTATTGCGCAATTTTTCCATTTTGTGGCGGAGGAAAAAAAAAGATGACAGAAAAACACAGGCGTTTTATGACTGGGCAACCACAGGTATCCCAGTAATGAGAAGAGTTTTTGCCGAGTTGAGTGAGATCGTCTTTCAATGCGTGGGAAGCAAAGAATCTGATTGGTGGTCAGAAATACGTTGTTATCATGTCAATTTTAAAGCATGTCACACAAAGAGCGCTGCAGTCACGGAATGTACGGTCATTTCGCATTAGCATTAAATTTGTACTTGTTTTTGAATCCCAAGCCCTCGGCTATAAGCCGAACCCCATTTCTCGTGAAAAAATTTCCCAAACTTTTTTGTCAAATACTGAAGAATCGCTCGGCTTATAGGTGAAGAAATACGGTATGTTACGTTTATTTACACCGTGCAGATAGCCTGATTATTAGACAGTCGAGTAAGAGCGACTGACCAACATTTGGACCGTCTTGAGAATCAGGTTTGTTCATAGACGACCTGATATCTGGAGTTAGACTTAAAGTAAAACAGTTTTTTAACTGAGCGGCCGATTCAGCTCAACCGCTGGTATCATAGAAGTCCTGCATCTACACAGTCCGTTTCATGAAGAAGATAAAAAAAGGACAATACAATCAGTGGAAATCGCAATTCAGAATTACAACAAAATTTCGAAAAGTTAACACCAGAAGAAAAGTTTCGCTCAGAGGTAGAACGCGTGAAAGTCTTCGGTTTTACCTACAGTTGCAGAAAGTTAATAAAAATTACCGTGCCAGCAGAGAGGAAGATGACAGTTAACGGTTCTTTGTTTCTATTTATATTCCAGTTCAGCGACGTTGTGGAGTATTGCGGTGATAGAGGAAGCACAGACCATGCCAACCGTGTAATGAAGATAGCGAAAGACCACCTAAGAAGACTTTCAAGCAAAAACATTTTCAAACCCAAAGTTTTAGCAAGGGTGTCACACACAGACAGGTCTTTTATTGGGGCCTCAATAGCTGTAAGTCATTTCTTAAGGCCTATTTGTTTGTTTCATAGAATCATGAATCTTAAACAGAGTCTCGGAAAAGCAATAGTACTTTTCCAGCCTCTAAATATTCCAGATCAGCAAAACTGGTTATTTGGAGCATTTTACGGAGCCAACTATGATTTGGTGAAAAGCACTTGTCAAAATTGCAACATGATATTTTGTAATGATCTTTCGGGAAACGGATCGTCCACGTTTCTCGGCGCATGTGCAGAGTATTGTCCTGTTAATCACCTACTTCCAAATGAGCCGAATTTGGGGCAAAGTGCAAGTGATGACCCACTTGTAATGAATCAACTGAAGCGAAACCATGATCGATGTTCAGATCTGTTCAAAAACTTTTTGGACATATCTAGGAAATGCACAGCTGCCGCTCGATCAAACGACGAAAATAGCATGAAGGCCGTGTACTGGGAAGTGATATATAAACTGCACATTTTTGGTCTATGGCCAGAATGTAACCCCTACTTTTAGTTTTTTTCGTTGTTCTTCGTCGTCACAAATTGACAGGATATTAAACTGCTCAACTCTAACAGTAAGAAGATAAAATATCTTTTTCGATCTTTTGTATGGAACAAATTTCAGCTCTTGAATATTGTGAGAATTTAGGTTAGTATCCTAGGTCGGTTCTTTGCACTGTCTTATCTGCATTTGTTTTAAATGATACTGAATAAAGCTGTTTGTAAAAGGTGGATAAAACAAACGATGCATATTTTAATTAGTTAATTACTCTTTCTGAGAGAGAGTTAAAAGAGATGTCTATTGTAGCTCGGCTAGATGTGGTCGCCACTTTTCGACGTATTTATGGTCTTGTACAGATCAGTCTTAACCCTTTCACTCCCACAAGTGACCGAGACAGAATTTCTCCTCACGATATCAATACAATATCAAGCAGGCAGGTGGTGAGAATAGAGAGGAATATTAATCATGGGATTATTAGTGGATCCAAGACCAAATTCTCTGAACTAACATCATAAGAATTGTATGGCAGATAGCAAGGAGAATTACTGATTAGATCTTGGGAGTGAAAGGGTTAAAACAATAAAAATTGTTGTTGTTGTTGTTATAAGAGAAAATACCGTATTAATAAATAACTTAAAAACGAACCAGTTTAATAGAGTAAAACGAAACTACTTGTAAGTAGTTTGAGCACTAGTTTGGGATCTTTCGCCATGCGGGACAGGAGAACGCGAGGAAAAACATGCGGTACACACGCGGAAAGCGGGATGAAACGCGAAATAAATGACGAAAATACTGAGGATGCCAAACAAGCGAAACAACTAGAAGCGTCTGGTGTGGAGAAAGCCGAACAGGGCGATCTTGATGAGGCATCGGAGTGTTTCAACCAAGCTTACGAATTGTGTTCGTTCTGTCCTTCATGGTTTAATAACAAAGCTCAGCTGTGGAGGTAAAAGGTACTCAAAACGTTTATATTCCCTCGAAAGTCAAAAGAAATTACATGTAATCGGTTTCAATGGATATATTAATGCACTTATTTAAATTACTTTACAGGTTAAAAGCCAGTTGATATCATACATTGAGAAAAACGTGTAGTACCTCGGGGGGTTGGTGGTGCTGAGGTTCAAATTTTACTATCCTTTGTTTTTGGGTATGGTAATATATGACAACGAGTTTGAAACAAAGGAAAATAGAATTTGAACTAAGGATAAAATTGAACCACAACAACAATATTAAAATAGTCATCCTTTTCACTGGCTCTTGGGAGGGTTTTCAACCTGGTAAAACTGGAAATGGTTCAAAATAAAGTTTTCACATACAAGCTCACGCATATCTCAAAATATTAAAACTATTAAACTTTGGTAGTCTTAGTGCTCATCATATAAAAGAACTTGAAATGACTTGTTTCTCTTGACACAGCCCCCTAATTTTCTCCCTCTGAGAAGCATTTGGAAATAAAATGTCGCTCATTTCTACTTTTTCAAAAGTAAGTTATTCAGTCAAATCTTGTTACAGGTCCTCATGAAGAGTGTCATACATGTATATGCATGGAGTTCCCCCCTTCCTGACCAATGATGCATGCATGAACTAACACTAGACCTCATTCAGATGCATGTTTAAACCCTATTCAAGACAAGATACTGAAAACCCTACTCCTGGTCTACTCCTGTTACTCTCAGAACAGCAGGCCAACTTACACTGTTGCAGGCCAATTCAGTCTATTGACGTGCCCACTTTGGCAGTCATTTTCAAATTGCGGAACTGTGAAGTTCTTAGTCTAAATATATTATTCATAAACTTGATCAGATTCCCCGCAAATGATACCTTACTGTGGACCAAACCTATGATTTCTTTACCTTTTCCCCAGAATCCTACCTTTCACAGCAGTGAGTGGCTCAGTATAGTTTTTTGCAAATAGCTATAGAGCATACAACATAAACAGCTCTTTTGATGAAGGATATTCTACAGAAGTGTAAAAGCACACGTGACTATGCTGAAAGATTTTCTGGGTAATGGTTGTTTACCGATTACTTGACCAAAATTTGTGGTGTGTCACTCCAAAGGATTGTTAACTTATGTAATTCATAGTTTCTCCATTCATCATGTTAAAGCAACAAGAATCTCAACCAAGTAACAAGTTATCAGCTACCTTTACACTCACCATTCCCACGAATCACACGCACTTGACGCGCGCAGGGATACCCACGAGACCGATAGTGTCAAAAAGGTACCCACTTTGGGGACTGAGGACCCCGAAAATCCTATCCTATCGGGACCTACAGAACCTTGATCCTTTCTTTAAAGTGAGCGTTTAATCTGACCTGTGCGTGATTTGAAAGATTTAACACGGATTTGTAACAAATACGCAAGTATGATTCAATTCTATTCTACTTCGAGAAGAAAATGCTCAGTTTGGGAAGCCAATGGTGTCCATAATTACTTCGCGTGGGATTTTCCTTATTCTTGATACAAATATTAAATTAATCTTAATATTAGTGTTGTCTAACAGCTGTGAGTTTTGCGATAAGCTGTTAAATTGTGTTCCAAGTGATGGTCGAACATCCCCACAAGTTGTTTAGTTATAATCTGTTCGAAGACTTTATCTGTAACAGGAAGGACGGTGATTGGTCTATAATTCTCCTTTAGTAAGGGTTCGTCACTCTTGAAGGCAGGAATCCATCCTCCCCTTTTCCACAATTAAAGTTAGTTTTCCTCGTCTACACATCTGTTAAACAGGTTGAAAAGTGAGGGAGCGACCTCCGCTGGTCCAATTTTTAGGACAAGTGGGGGAATAGAATCATGACCAGATGCTTTCCTAACTTTCAGAGTCTCCATTGCCGTTAAGTGTTCAGCCAGTCGTTCAGCTTTCAGAGTAATATGTGTTAAAAAGTAGAATAGCAGGTAATTTAGTGTTAACAACTGAGTTGAAAACGTAAATTAGTGACCGGAGAAAAGAATTGTATTGTGTAATAACGTTTATTTTACATCTTGTTTACACAGTCAATGTCTGAAACAAGAACTTTTGCATTAGCTTAATGTCATTCGTCTGTCGGACCTAACTATATACAGGTATCACATGATAACTTTTGATAGTAAATTAGTTACCTTAGTGCGTAAAAGAGCTGTAAGTAACTGATGAAAATCTTAGGAAATGAGCAAAATGTAACAACGGCAACAATAACAACAAAAACAACAAAAACAATTTTTATTGTTTTAAGACCGATCTGTACAAGACCATAATACGCCGAAAAGTGGCAATCACATCTAGCCGAGCTACAGTAGACATCTCTTTTAACTCTTTCTCCAGAAGAGTAATTAATTAATTAAAACATGCATCGTTTGTTTTTATCCACCTTTTACAAAACAGCTTTATTCAGTGTCATTTAAAACAAATGTAGATAAGACAGTGCAAAGAACCGACCTGGAATACTAACCTAAATTCTCACAATATGCAAGAGCTGAAATTTGTTCCGTACAAATGATCGAAAAGGTATTTTATCCTCTTACTGTTAAGAGTTGAGTAGTTTAATATCCTGTCAATTTGTGACGACGGAGAACACCGAAAATGAAACTAAAAGTAGTGGTTACATTCTGGCCTTAAACCAAAAATGTGCAGTTTATATATATCACTTCCCAGTACACGGCCTTCATGATACTTTCGTCGTTTGATCGAGCGGCAGCTATGCATTTATTAGATATGTTGTGAGAAGCTGAAGAGTGTTCTTGAAGGAGTAAGAGGTGCCATTTCTGAGTAAAAAATGCAATTGGGTAAGCTTCAAGCGAAAGACTATCTGAATGAAGCAAAAAATGCTGCCGCTAGGATCTTTGAATGGAAAGGGCATATCCTTAGAGCAGAGAACCATGATCAGTGCAAGCGGCAAATTGTCGATATTTTGAAGAGAGATGAAACATTTATAGTAGTTGACTGGGCAATGAGGTTCATAACGATGAAGTTCCGAGAAAAGCAAGCAGAATGGTTTTCCAAGAGGAGAATCAATTGGCATGTGAGTAGCGTTGTTGTAAACAGGAGGAAAGCCTGGGATACGTACACCTTCTTAACAGCCGTAAACAAGACTGGTTTAAAGTGTTGTCAATCCTAGAAAATCTCTTTGCCACCATAAAGTTACAAAATTCAGGAATAATAAAGGTCTTTCTAAGATCAGATGAAGCAGGCTGCTATCACAACAGTAAACTGGTATCATCTCTACGAGAGCTCGGATGTCGCCAGGAAATCGAACTCGTGAGGTACGATCCGAGGAAAAATATGTGTGATGGGAATCTGTGTCCGTCAAAAGCGTCAATCAGGAGATACTGCAACGAAAGCCATAGCACATGCATACCGCATTGAAAGAGAGACCGGTCAGGGGGAACAACGGCGTCAGTGTGCATAGTCTAGGAACAGAACTCAACCCTACAAATGAACAAGATTGTCAATTTCAGCAACTTACACAACTTTGAGTTTACAAAAGAGGGCCCGCGTCTTTGGAGAGCGTTTAATGTTGGGCCTGGAAAGTTTATTTGATAAAATTAAAATTGCAATTTTTCCACAGAAAAAGACGGATCTGGTGGAGGAGATTCCATTTTTCCCCACTACTGCTCGACGAATTGCATTAACAGGAGAGAGCGATGATGGCTACGACGGTAGTTCCTATCAATGCCCTGAACCTGGTTGCGATGAAGATTTTAAGACCTGGGGCGACCTTGACCCCCATATGAACTAGCTAGTTTGTCATGTAAGTCCTGTGCCTGCGAACATGACTTAAAGTCTTTATGACAAAGTGAAGAGGTAATGGTTTCATCACTTTCAGTCATTGTCATTAGAAGGTGAAAGTTCGACTGAACTGGTTGCAGTGGCCACAGAACCCTTGACAAGTGCTTCACAGCTTCCCATGGGATGGGCTCTTCATAAGAGAGGTGCAAGTGTACGGCTTTCGCAAAGCGTCAGGCAGTACTTGACACAGAAATTTAATATCGCACGAGACACTGGCAGAAACCAAACCCAGAGCAAGTAGCAAAGGATATGTGTACTGCTTGCAAAATAGATGGAGAGAGAATGTGCGATAGAAAAGAGTGGTTATCCAACATACAGATTCAGGGTTTCTTCTCGAGATTGTGCCTTAAACAGCGATCTAAAATACAACAAGAATCGGATGATGCCACAGACGCAGACGACGAAGACGACGACTTGATAGAGACATCCGCGTCTGATGTAGACGAAGAGTGTTTGAGAGAGGCAAGGAACACAGTAATGGATGAGATAGGACTGAAACATCCAATCATGTTTGATATCTATGATGTGTGCTCGTTGGCAAGAGAAGGAAGGTTGCCTAGCCTCAAAGTCAAGATGCTAAGAGACATGTACAAACATTTTGAGCTGGCATTCAAAATGCGAGATACAAATGCAGCAATTCTTGCAAAAATGGAGGAAATGGTTTCGGAGTGCAGTTGTTATGCAATCTAGTTATGACGTCCACCCGTTATGCGAATGCGATATCCTTTTTCACAAGAACTCTCCAAACTTATGAACAGAGACCGTTATGCAGACAGGTGTGACGACCAGATATCATTTGTTCCTGTCAGCTAGAAATCTGAGCAATCGCTGCTTTATTTAGAGGTGAGAAGCATTCAGGACAATTACACAGTTGAATTACGTGACAGAGTCACTGGTCACGGTGTTTTTCAATGTGTGCTGTTATCGCCGGTTACACTAAATAGAATCCTGTAGTTAGGTTTTGAAATGTTCCTACAGGTTTAAATAGCGTAAGCTGGCAGAACTCAAATATGAAATAACAGAAGCTAAATTTTTAAATAAGAGTTTGCGAGCGCTAAACAAATTATGATATTCGATACGTTGTCGTTGACGTCTTTCCTCACGAGATAATAAAATTTGTCAAATTCTGGCCTTTTAAAATGTTTGAAGTATTACTCAGTGTGGTCTTAAAGCCCTTTCTATGTTTTCTACTCAAAATGGTTAAAATCTAAGAATTATTGAGCTACTCATATAAAACGGTCGGAGTTTGCTCAATGAACTAATTTGCATAATTGGCGGTCACGCTTGCAAAATCACTAAAAGTTTGAAGTCACCAAGGCGAAGAAAATTAATAAGTGCAAGATATTTTTATATTTTTCTGCAGCCAAACATCTTATTAGCAGAAATAAAGCGGATTTTTTAATGGTCTGGTCTGGACTTGAGTAATATCAACAAAGAAAGAAAGAGTACTTCAGACCAATTTCAGAAAGCTGTCTGACGAGTGTTTTAAAATAAATTATGACGGGCCTCTGAATAAACGAATATCAAAATTGAAATGCTTTTTATACACCTTACATATCACACAGTTTAAGGATACAAACTATCTTTTGCTGCATGCGGTGTGATACGAGGACCGGGCTCTTCAACTTCTGAAACTTTCGATGTCCCAAGAGTTCAAAAAAGGGCAGTATTGCAGCTTTGACTTTTGAGAGCTCTAAAGATTTTATTTTAACGTATTTCCAAAAACTAACGTGGTTTTATTTACTTGCTACCAAAGATAGTTTATTGGGCAAAGTTTGAAGGAAAACTTTTTTCCGACGCGAAATGCCCTGGACCGCTCTTACAGAGATCGCCACTTAACTCTCGCATATTACTTATATGATTCTGGGAAGAACCGAAGAAAACTTATGGAAAAAGAACAGAGAGAAATGTGAACGTGACCTTTGTTTCTGAGGTGGGTATATATTGAGAGATGAAATGTAACATGCGCACAAGGCATGTGCATATATCCCCGTCCCCAAGGGGACGGATGTTTTCAGTCTGACAAAGAAATGCCAGCTCTGGAGGGATGTCGATTTTATTCAGCATTAGTACATTTCTGGTAATATCCGCTGGGTAACTCAGTTTTTCTACCCGTAATCTAATGAACTGATAAACAGTTATGTCGAAATGTAGGTGTTTTGAGTTTTTTTTCAAACAGGTATTTGGTTTTTGGCAATGCGACCATAAGGGAATGTATATTTCTTTTATAATAACTGGTCTAAAAGAAGCTGTCTATTCTAATCTACAACTACCAAAAAGAAGTTGTAAATTAACATTATTCGCTTTAAGGCAGGTTTTGACCCCCCCGTCAGTTCTAGCACGGGCGGCCTGTATGGGTCCGCAAATGATTCCAGGACCGCAAATGATCCCGGACCGCAAATGATCCCGGACCGGTAATGATCCCTGATGGGGACCGCAAACGATCCCGACTTAAAAAATAAGGAATGGCTTGGATGTGGGAATGGTGAGGATAGGGAACTGGGGTGAATAGCAATTATTTTGATTAAATCATCTTAAATTATGGCTTACAACTGGCTTCTTTTTGTTACTTTTTTCATGCTACGATGCTATGAACGGCACCTTCATAAATGAACCTAGAATTCTCTTTACTATATATCTTAAAATTATAACCGAGATTCTTTTCGACAACACAATAAACGCTACATATTCTTGCTTAACTAGCTACACATTGGTATGCCAGCGTGGTATACCGTTCTATCTTTAATCAAATTGCATCAATCCATTGACGTCACCCAGCTGGGAACAACAGCAACGATGTCAGTAAAAACAACAACAAGAACGTTGTGTTTTAGACTAATAAATTTCCACCCAACATGCGGCAGTTTGTTTTTGTTGTACCTAACTCCAAACTAAAATTCATCCATTAAGCAACTATTACAGAAGACGCTGTCATCTGAGTAGTACTGCAACGCTCCACCGCTCTCAGAAACACCTTGTGAGTAGCACTGGAATTTTCGTCCACATTTTGGACAAATTTCTTCTGTGATTTTTGCTTGGCCATATTTTTGCTTTAATTCCTCGGCAATGGCTAGTTGGGATTCTGAGAAGCCATTGGTTCTAGGCTATGATAATGAAGCTCAGCTTCCTGGCCTCGTTTTGACAATCAGGGGGATAGATAACTTTCAATCCCGTCTCTCCTAAGCTTGAAACTATCGCCACCGGGATTTGGAGCATGTTGATGAGGCCCCATAACGCAATCTAGTCACCCCATTCACCTTCCATAGCCATTCTTCGCAGATAAGAGTCCCATGCCCCGAGATTGATAAATTCACTGAGATGAGTTCCATCTGGGGTGGCTTGATTACTTCTGAGATAATTCACCAGATCAGAGCGTAGTTTTGTGGCACTCTGAGATGCTATTCCGATCTCACCTTATTTCGACAGCGTATCACTTGTTATCTGACCGCTTTCTTTGACGAAAAGTACCCATTTTAGCGAGTTGTCCATTTCGAGGTTTTCAACGTACATGAGAAAAGCCATAACGTATCAAGAAAAGCGGTTCAGCTTAAAGTTAAGCAGGCTTTGTTTAACGATTAACAATGACCGTATATGGCTACTATGGAACAATGGCGGAAGCAGCTTTAAAATAAACGCGGGATTTTTCAAAATTTCCGATTATCATACGAGCGGCAGATTTGAGAGAAGGGCTTTTCTTATGAACGTTGAAAACAACCGTAAATATCAATATTACCTTAACTGTAGACGGACCGAAAAACTCAATATGTTTCCTGAACTAAAATTTTTTTAGGGGGATGTTTCGCCAGTTGGACCTCTGCAAGTGAGGTGGTTAATTCATCAAAATGGTGTTTTTTCTCCGGCGAGATGTGTTTTGGAAACGTTACCAGCTCCGACTCAAACTCTATTATTTGACGTTTTGGCTCAGCTTTGGTATAAGAACCTGTTACGTTCACGAGTGACGTAACGAAGTCAAAACAGTAGAGACTAGGAAAATAATAGTGACAAAACAAAGAGAAACTTTACAGGTTCTAACACCAAAGTTAACCCGACATTTTTTGTATGTTCAGCAGGATTCAGAGTCCAGTGAAGAAGAAGAAGGAATCAGTGAGGAGGAGTTTAAGAGGACAGAAGGATGGAAGCTATTCAAGGAAGCCCTGGATGCACACACTAAGTGCAATAACTCAGCCAAAAAGTAGTTTACTTCTCGTATGCTTCTTTTTAAGCTTTATTCACGTTTGCAGCTGAGATAGACAAAGTTTATATGGTTGCACATTTTCAAAAGCAGATTTTTATCAAACTGCAATTTGTATCATAAACTTCTTTTTTATTAAATAATTATGACTTTGAAAACCTTTTACAGGATTTCCTTTTTTAACCTACCAGCGTTTTTGTAAGTATTTGGATGAATACATGACTGTACTATTCAAACATTGTGACAATGTACATTTGCACAGTGGAACCCCGTCAATACGGCCACTAACGGGCCATGGAAATTTAGCAAATTTAAAATTAAGCAGAATTTAAATTTAAAGTAAATTTAAACTTAACTTAACTTGTATGGGCGCCCGTTTCGCCGAGACAAAAAAGTGGCTGTATTAACGAGGTGGCCGTAATGCGGGGTTCCACTGTATTTCATACGTTTCATTACACTGATAATGGCCATTTAAGTTGTTATACCCATAATTTTGAAGAACTATTGGGGTTGTGACTGAAATAGATATTCTAAAATCAAGAATCCACTGGGGGCCGGGAACCAAAAAATAAAACTACGTGGAAACCATGCACATTTTACAGTTTTTATAAGCCTTGTTTACAATCTTTTCTTGCCCATGTAGACTTAATGAGCTCAAAACGGATATTTTTACATCATTATTAAGCTTGGTTACTGAATAAAAAAACTGATGTTAATTAATACATACACCCCGATTTCCACATACACTGGTAAATAAAAGATAGCTGATATGAAATCGTCTAGTATTATTATTATTGATTCATTTTTAACGTAACTTTCTAAAAGGGATTTAATTTGTAGGGTGTGTTTAAAAATAGGAGCACGGCTTTTTAGGGGGCTCTTAAAAAAGTAGCAATTCAAAAAATATCTCTCTTCCCTCCCATTTCCTCCTAGCACCCCCTCCCTTTGTATCCCTTTGCACCCCCCTGACTTTATTCCTTTTCCACCCAATCTCTATCATGCTACTATAATCCTAACGCCTATTCATCAGCTATTAAAAGTGTTCCTGTGGACGAAAACACAAGTGGATTTTACACACCACTGATCTCTACAGCAAATTCTCCTGGCTGCGTGCTCTTGTTCAAAAAATGGCAGAGGAAATATTATAATCAGCTGGAAAGATATTCTGGCTATTTGATTTCCCAACCGTGTTACATAATGACAATGGAGGAGAATTTAAAAATAAGCAAATGAGAGCATTTTGTGAGGCACACAACACAAATCTTGTTCATGGTGCACCACGAACACCGCAAACCCAGGGTTTGGTGGAGAGAAACAACCGAACTGTGAAAGAAAATCTCTCTAGTATCATCCAAGAAAAAGAGGCTGATAAAACAAAATGGTGCAGTTATCTTTTAATTCAATGACAGCGAAAGGCTGAGGAGAGAAAGAAATTTGTATCAAGGGGGTGAGCGACGATCAAGAATAAGGAGAGGGGTGGTGTGGGAGAGTGAATATCGCCATCAACCATGATGCAGACCTCTCAAGAGACGGATATTTCACTGAGTTTTGATTTAATTATTTCAAACTAATTTGTTTGTTTTTGCTTTCAGAAGCCCATCGTTCCCGTGATTGATGGCAGACCACCTTGAAACAAAACTGAATAGACTTCACACGTCACTGAACGTTGCTGAAAGAAATAAAATAATTGTCTTGGGTTGTAAATATGGGTATTCCTATCTGAAAGTATGCTGAAGTTGTCTGACAGTCTTGCCCAGTTTATCAATTTGCTATCACTAATACTCATAATCATGCAATCACTGAAACCTTGTCCTTAATGTTGAATTTTTTTCTTTTCTCAAATAATATTTTATCTTACCTCCCGTAAAACGTTCAGCCTGATGAAAATAGACTCTTGAGCCACAGGTGCAGGGAGCTCATCAAACTACGTTAAAAACGTCAAACAACATAAGCAAGTATCTGTTTTGATCATTTACAACCTAACATCAGTATGCATATTCTACAAACTGTTTTCTATACACTAAGGTTCTGACAGGGAGAATTTGTTTAACAATCGAGGACTTCTTCATGGTGGTCATTTCCTTTATTCTCATGACCCTGTTGTATGATTTTGTGGGGGGGGGGCGGCATTGTAAGATGAAATTAGACGCTAGTCCCTTTCAGGGGTCAAAGGGCTAAAAGGTGCAGGAAGCAATTACTATAACAGTGTAGTGCTTTATATATATATACATATACATGTACTTATAGGAAGTCTGCAAGTCGATTTTCGTGTGGAAAAGTGCTCAATACGTTGAAGCAGAGCAGAATAAATATTATGAGAGGGAAAAGGGACGCAACTACATTTCCCATTACATTTACATTTCCATTTCCATTTTACATGTACATATATATACATACATATATATATGCGTATGAGTATATATATACACATATATACATACATGTATGTGTGTATATATGTATATAATTATGTATATGTGTGTGTATATATATCTATATATATATATATATATCTATATACATCTATCTATATATATACACATACATATACATATATAAATATGTATGTTCTTACAATGTGTCCTGCTTAGCCCTTTAACACCCAAAATCTCATTAGTACTTCTCCTTACTGTCTGCCATACAATTCATATGATGTTAGTTCAGAGAAATTGGAATTGGATCAACCACTAATCCCCTAATTGATATTTTTCTTTATTCTCATTCTGTCTAGGTCACTTGTGGGACTAAAAGAGTTAAGTTGACACATATTTTACTCACCTCTTCTTATTTTTCTTTTGGAAGACCCATACATTCATCCATAACATGGCCTATGACCGCAGAAAATGGGGTTAAAATAAAAACAAGACAATTCTCATTGGAAAAGTGCTTCAGGTTGACTGAGGTGAAAATTATGGGATTTTTAAGGGGATGTCTCTGATCAGTGAATTTGCCAAAGAGGACCAAATGAGTAAGTCCAAATTTTTTCAATTCATTTTGTCAACATTAGCACTTAAAACAAAACGGGATTTCTTCAAAATACTCACCCAGCATAATCAAATCAGCTGAAAGAAACCAAACGACTGTGTCAGCTCTAATTATCTAATATTATTAATTTAATAAAACGACAATTATGACTTGCATTTTACATGAACATACCATCAGCGCCATTCAAACAGTGCTTTGTGTTTGGGTCATGATGTGGACTTGCTGAAACAAACAAAAAAAGAGATGCAACTGCAATTTTCATACCACTATGGTGAAGTTAGAGGTTTATTAAATGTCCTTATATTACAAGGACTAATTAAGATAAAAAAAAGGAAGAAAAGGAAGAAAAGGAAGTTCTCCCTAAAATATCCAAACATCTCAGCTGGGTCAAAGAAACAGAAAAAGTTACAAATGAATATTGTCCAGGAATCATTTTATTTTCAAAGCTAATTTGCGAGCAATTTGTAGGGTACATAATAATCCATGGTAGACATGGACAGAAAAGTCTGCACCACCCAGTGTTTGGCCACTTGACCTTTTAACTCCCAAGATCTGTTTACCAATTCTCCCTTCTGACTGCAACACATTTTGTTGTAAATTAGTTATGAGAAATCAGTGTTAGATCAAGATAACAATGTCTATCTGGTAGATTTGAATTTGAGTTTTCTCATTACCTGTTTGCTAAATATCGTATTGACTTTATTGGGAGAAGTTACATGTTAATCATTTCTGGGAGAAAAATATGGAAAATATCTTATTCATGGTCATGATGTGCAGACCCATATCCCTCAATTTGTACATTATGGCCTAGAGCCAAATATTATCCTGTATAGCTCTCCAACAGCAAGTTGACTGGCTACCCTCCAATTCATTCTATAGGTACATATGATCTTGGGAGTGAGAGGTAAATCTCACCTCTTTGATGTCTGATGTAGTCCATAATCTTGTGCTCACCCTCTCCAGGAACATTAGCATCTGATAATATCACCTTAAAAAATTTATGCATACTGTACATAAAATAATTCAAGATAATTCACACCTTAAATCCAAAAGAAACAACACTATATCTTCATGAGCTTTATTAGACACACACCTGCTTAATAACTAAAGGGATACCTGCGGTCATACCAGACATGTGTGAACGTCATTAAAGTTTAACCCTTAAACCCCCTAAAAGTGAATGGGATCTAGTTTCTGCTGACAATTATACTGCTAAATCAATCATTAAGGTCATGATAATAAAGGCAATGATTATCAACCTGAGAAGCTCTTGAGAGGTACACTGTGTTTCTCCTTCTCAGCACCAAGGGAAATGTATAGAGACTGGTATGGAGAATATGCATAGTGATGTTAGGCTATAGAAGATCAAGGCTAAAGCTGCCTATAAGATTGTTTAACATAGTTAGCCCTCAGAGAGTTGTTGCTCCCCTTGAATGGTAAAGGATTCCTTTGCAGGTCACCCCAGTGTTGTGTCAATTTTCCTTGACAGTTCTCCGGTACCCTTTTTACTGTAATACACTCCTGAAATCTCAATGATCATTCCACGCACTTCTGCCATGCAGTTTAAATTATTTTCATTGTGAGAAACTTGTGTTCAAGCAAACAATTACCTTGCTTTGATACTTTCCTTTCTTTCTTACTCATCACCTGACTATTTAAAAATGTATTGATATCATTACGAAAAATTCCTAAGTCACTGAAAGTCACCAGAAGAGAACAAAACTATTAAAACTTACATTAAGGTGCAATGTACTTACTTTTATATTCCTCCATCCAGGATCATTGTTTAATCTGTCAGCAATGTAGTATCTTAAACATATGGACAAATTGGTCATGAACTCTGTCCCCTGTAACAAAGAAAAATTCACACTCAGAGGAGTTTTTGAATCCAATACACATTTGAAATACATGACATACAACCAGTTATAAACAACTGCCAATCTTCACTCAGGAACATAAACTATACACAGCTAGTGAGCAAGTCCACCATCTCTGTTGTCCACTAGAATCATGAAAGAATCAAGAGCATGACAGAGACAATTTACTCATTTATGTCCAAGCATCAGTCTTTTCAGATCATAGAGTGAGGCACACCACTATAAACCTCCTACTTTGGAATGATTTAACCCTTTCTTTCCCAGGATCTCATTAGTAATTCTCATTACTGTCTGCCATATAATTCTTATGATGTTAGTTCGGAGAATTGGGTATTGGATCAACTAATAATCCCTAATTGATATTTTTCTTCATTCTCATTACTTGTCTGCTTGGCATTGTATTAGTGTTGTTGGGAGAAATTCTGTATTGGTCACTCATAGGAGTTAAAGAGTTAAATCTTTTTGTTCACAATCTTAGTGATTTCATGTACAGGTAAAAGGCATGATTTACAGATGTCATCCTTGTAACATACAAAATATACCAATAACATCTGTTAACCCTTTAACTCTCAAGATCTCATTGTTAATTCTCCTTGCTGTCTGCCATACAGTTCTTGCAATGTTAGTTTGAAGAATTTGGTATTGAATCAACTTATAACTCCTAATTGATATTTTTCTTTATTCTCATCACTTGTCTGCTCGATATTGTACAGAGAAATTCTGTCTTGGTCACTCACAGGAGTTGAAGGGTTAGGAATCATTAATCACAGCATGCAAACAATCACACCAACCTCATTGCCTGAAGAGTACTGGCAGTATGCAGACAAATTCAATCCACACTGGTTAATGACTATTTAATACTGGATGTGACAAAATGATAATGATCTAAATATGACTATTGCACTTCACAATGAACAACCAGAACCAATTTTACACAATTACACTTACTGGTGTAATACAGTTACTGTCAAAGTGTTCAGTTTTTCCTTTTTCTGGTGGTAAAAGAGCTCCTACAGAAGAAAGTAACAAAATGTGTAGGTGTAAAATTCCAAACTGCATGAAACTTGGCCTGTCTGAACATCTGGGAGGGGTAACTTTTCCATTTGGACTATAAAAAACATGACCTTACTTGTCTGATCAGACAACCATGGGCAATGATTTATTTTTTCACCCAACTTTGGATATGATACATCATTTCCAATTTTGAAAAGTTTGTTGCCCATAAAAATAAGTAGCACTTACAGAAAGTAATATACATTTAAGTATCATTTTGAATATCTTTTTCAATCGATTCACTTCAAATTCTTGCCATTTCCTCTACTTTTTCCCTAAAAAAGCTTAAAATTTAGCATTTCCCGCCATTATGTTTTCATCTGTAGTGTGCAAACATTTGCACTAATTGAGTTACTGTTTCATTACTACCTTGGTTTCTTTAGATGCTCTGAAACGATGAGATCTTTGCTGGTTCATTTTTGCCCTTGGAGCCTGCAATAGAAATGAACAAATTAAAGACAAACATGCACAAATATTATCATAAATAAGCCAAAATAGAAAAATAAATATATATTTTATAATAGATTAATAAATATACTTGCAAAATGCTACTTACTACTCCATCAATGGCCATGTAAAGCAACTTTCTGGGTCTAACTATAGAGAAGATTCTGTAAAAAAAAAATAGAAATTGACTGTAGTGGGTAATAAATGTTAAATATAGTTAAATGGAATATGCCATAGATAACAACTAGAAGCAAATATGGTCAGTAGCATTTTGAGGTGTTTGATAAATGTCTTGGCTGGCTGTTGGCATTCATGCAGCATTTGTTGCATTCTGTTTGGAGCAGTACTGTGGTCATTGGGACCTTGAGGCCGTCCTTATCAAGTGGTAGACCTTACCAGTGCATGTGTTGTTCTACCATGTGTTTGCATTGTAATCACTCTTCTATGGTGTGGTGTTGTTTTCCTTGCAGATTGCGGATCTTGGCATTTTGTCCCCCCCCCCAACCCTAATTGCAGTGTTTATTTCTATTTATTTATTTTTTTTATTTATTGATTCACTTCTTTATTCATGTTTTCCTCTACTCAGCTATCTGGCTCTTGTGTGACAGTGCTCATTGGGCGCTTGGTGTAGGACGTTTCAGGCTGGATTGCAGGCTGAGCAGGCCAATCTGGTGTTCAAGCACCTCAGGGTGCAACTGTGGTTTCAGCCCCCAGGTCTCCCAGGCACGTAGCCTCCATTTGAGACGTGGGCATTAACTGAGAGTAAAATCTTACAGAGTGTTCCCTAAGCAAGAGATGTGGTGGCCTAATGGTTGGTGCACTAGGCTTCTGTTCTAGAGGTCTAGGTTTGAGACCAGGTCATTTTGTTGTGTCCTTGGGTAAAACAGGTTATGTACACAGTACATCTCTCCAACCAGGAGTAAAAAATAACCCCCCAAAAAAGTACCTGTTAATGTACTCAAAAACAGCCACCATCATTTCATCTTCATTCTTTGGAGCTGGCCTGGAAATAAATGATAAAATGTCTATAAATCTAAAAATCTAAATGTCTAAATGTCTAAATGTCTATAAATCTCAAACACGTGTAGTTAGATCAACAACAAGCCAGGCTATCAATCCTTCAACCGACTCACCTTTTCTTCTACACAGTGGACTACGATCGACGGGTACTTCTTTGATAGCCAGCGAAAAAATGCTGGAACTCCCATCCATGCGTATTGAGTTTAGCAAATTGGAGTTAACTCAACGCTGAAAAGTGAAAAAGCCTCTGTAGAAAGCTCATAGGCTTACTTGAGAAGATAGGAAGGTTTTCTCAGCTGAGAAACTACCAGGCGATATACCGCTGACTGATTTTTCTCGCAATGTTAAAGCATAGGCAAGCAATGCGTGCATACATCTTCAAACCACACTGGGGAAAAAGTTCGAGTTCGTTGCTGGACAAAAAAAAATGCTTATTAAAGAGATAAGAATTCTCGAATTCATAACTTTTTCCCGACAAGATACACTTCGATAGTTAATTTTTCAAACAGTGAAGGATGAAACAGAAACTTGCTGTTACGAAGAAAAGAAAAACCAATAATTTTATGTCAGCCCCAAATATTGAGACATTAATCTAACGTTCAACCAGCATCCCTTTTTTGGCTCACTTTTTACACCTCTGAACGTTTCCAGGACAGAGGGAATTTTTCACCCACTGTGCTTGCCTTCAAAATTCATATCTTTAGCCAGGACGCAAATATGGAAAACATGCCTCATCTATCATCAATTTCCTCACCACCCTCCCAAAAAAAGATACATTGACCACCATTAGACTGTGCTTATTAAGGGAGTGGCCACCCCTTATAAGTACAGTCTAATGGTGGGTCAATGTATCTTAAGTGCAAAAACTTGGTTTTGTCCCAACCAAAGCGAGGCAAAATATTCCTGTTTTCTTTGTTATGTTTCATTGTATGGATCACCCTTTCATGCTAAACGGAGGGAAAAGGAGAGCCTGGGAACGTAGTTGGCGACAAGGAAGTTTTAGGAAGGGTGCAAAGAAACGGCACCAATCTTTTCCCTCAGCAAGCCAATCAGAGTACACAAATATGATGACGTATCTAGGGGCGCCAAACCCGCGACAACACACGAGTCAAGTTTCATGGAAGAAGCGTGTTAGAATACAGCTGGGCAACTCTGCATCATAAAATGAGTGGATATGAATCTCTAGCAGAGAATGCAGACGAAATGGTGATAGAGAAAATTTGTCTTTTCACCTTTTACTTAGCTCTGAGTCCTTCAAGGGCAGAAAACACCGTCGTGACCAGGTAAAACTTTTGAAAAACACAGCTTCTGTATCGATCTTCGTTATAGTTCGTCTTTGGTATACCTTGGCTACGAAAAGATCACTCTTTTGCCATAGAAAACATTGCATTTACTTAAGCTAGAGCTTGAATATGGCCCGTTCAATCTGGTGGTGAGGAAATTAATGAACCTTTTATTCGCCTTTGTCACCCCTCTTTAAAAGGGGCGCAAATTACCGTGGTTTTTCTAATAACCTCAGTCCCAATTCAACCATAATTCGTCATCGGATTAGGGACCTGTTACGTCCACAGCAAATAAAGATGTCAAAGCAAGGAAACAGTAGTGACAAAAAACGGGAAAGTTTGTCAGGTTCTTACTCAGGGGTCATTCCAAACTTTTCTGACAGCTTTGAAGCTAAAACTGCTTCTTGTTTGTTATTACTCCTTGACTTTGACACTCTATTTGAAAGATAATCAAGAAAAAACAGAATTCTAAGGAATGATTGGTTATCACCGGTCCGATATGGCATGTGGCAGTTTGTGGTCTTTCCCTTCATCTAGGCAGTTCAGAAAGCCACAAAACTCTAGAACAAAGATTTATCTTCCAAATCAGCACTCTTAATTCCCAGGGTTGTATTCCCACCAATAGCATATCTCCATTTTTGGCATATAAACTCACACACAACCCACAATTCCTCCATTCACTCTGATGAAGGGCTAATGCTTGAAACATAGCCTTTAAACTCTTTATAGTGGCCAATTTATGTTGATAACACTAACTTGATAACTCAGTTGATAACACCAAGTTACCCTGATGTGAGCACTAATAGGACTGTGTAGGCATCATGCTTGTAATTGGACAGTGCAATAGGACAGTTAAAGGAACAGTTAGCATGTCATGGCAGTGTAAGTGGACAGAATGTGTCATGTGCACATGCTGTTGCCTTGCATTTTGCAACAGTAACTTGGTTTTTTTTTATGAAAACAGTTTTATGAAATAGTTTTGATTAATTGGTAACAGGACTTTGTGTTGTCCAATTCTATGTGTAATCTTACTTTTGATTAACAAATCGGGCTCCCCTTTGTGACTGTCCCATTTTGTACTCTTATGATTACAGAAGGAATTGAAATCCACCCATTCATATAAGTATCACTTTTTGATTCCTGTGAAACTTCCTTCTTTTACGCACACCATCCATATACCCAGTCAATGAACCACTCTTTTTATGGATGATTTTCCAATGCTTTGGTGCAAAGTTTATTTTTGTTTTTCTCTTGCAAATATACACTGATGAAACATGGATTTACCACTGTATTTGTATTATCTGTTTCTAAATTCTTGATGTTTTATCTGTAAATGTTCCAGTAGTGCATAACTGCTCCGTGCTACTTGATACACAAACAAAGATACATGACTTCATAAAAAATCTAGAAAAAGAGTCATTTGCCTTTGGCTGAATAATGTGTAGTGGCCACTTTATCTGGTCTTTTCATGCCAGTTTGCTTAAGTTGGTACTGTTTTGTTGTTTTGTTAGATCTACACACCCAAGTCTTTCTATCTGTCATACTGATTAGAAGCTGTCACTTTAATCTAAAAAAAGTTCTTTCATTGAAATGTTTGCCTTTTGAAACTTTCTACTGACTTTTGCTAAATAAACAGTATAAATGTTTAGAAATATTAACCTTGAAGACAAAAAAAAAAACTTACTTTGTACAGCCTTGAAGAGCTTGAGTAAAATTATGATATAATGATACCAGATGAAGAAAACTCATCTTTCTTTGGAACACTTGTCAAGTAAAGGAAAATGTTAATTTGATAATTATATATCAATTTAAAAAAATCTGCAAGTCTGACTCTGATTGTATAATGTTATTTATCAATTCCTGTGAGTAAGTTATCATGATAATCATTTTGTGTCTAATGTGTTAATTTCACATGGATGAAGTTGTATTTATACATTGCACATACTTACAGCTGCAAAATACATTAATTCTGTGTTTTCATTTAGAGGAGTGATAGCATTAGAGTAGAAATTCACTGTCTGCTAAGATATGTGAGTTGCTCCATTAGTGGACAGCTGTTTGAGACTAAGCTTCCTATGTTTCCAAGGCTGTGGCTAATGCACAAAGGGGGCAGCTCCTTCCCTCTACAAACACTTTTTAATAACATATTTTTGTCCTTCCCTTTAAACTATTTTTAATTCATCTGCTACCCTGTATCCCATGTATTGAAGAATGGAAATATTGAAAAAAATGTTTTTGTCACACTTGTTTTTTTGTACACCGATTTACAAAGTATATCTAGTATACCTAAAGTATACCTAAATCAAGCTCTGGTGGTGTTTTGCTCTTAATTTCTGGCTAAACAGGGATCCATCAAATTAAGTATATTCGTGAATCTACCTCAATTGAAATCTGCTTTTTTTTTTTCCTTTTACCAACAGTGTGTCAAATCCAATTACGGTATGTCAACAAATAGAGTGTCAATTTGATAATACTTCACCTAAATTGCCAGCAATTTGTCTCTTGGCTGTTCATTACCATGTTATTTACTTTTAGTAACTAAATAATTTCTGGTTGTAATCTTTAAACCTTAAGCTAGTTGATCATTACATGAAACAATTTATTTATTCAAATTTTTTTACACCTAGTAGACTCACCAAGATGGTGGTACAATTTTAAGATATTTTGCTCAAGTTCTGTAATAGCAGAGTTGAATTTTTGATTTGGACTTGTAGCAATGTGCTAAACATTTATTTTGTGTAGGAAAAAAATAACAAGCAGAGGACAATTAGTACTCAAAAAGTATGTACCAATATTCTCAAGTGGCTAATTTTTCAACCACATTGATGGGACATTGGTGGTAATGCATTACAAAAATTTGCAGTACTGGTCAGATCTTGAATTTCCAATCGAAAGTTAACATTCCATTACAACCTGTACAACTTCAGTCTATTTTAACTTTTGTGAGAGCATTTACAATCCAGGGAAATGTGTTTCATACAATGTAGATTTTTTTTTAGCAATGCTGCTTTTACAGGTGGCATGACCACAAGCATGTGAATCAAGGTATGCGTAGCACTTAATATTTATTGTTTCTCAGAAATTATTTGATTGGAAGTTTTAGTTGGAATGTTTTGTAAACAAAAAAATCAACAAGCAAAAAATAAAAAGACAGCACGATCCTTTGTAATCACCATCACTTCCATTGTAATCATCATCATCACCATCACATATATGTTAGTCAGACATGCTGAACTTACTGGTTAATAGACATGTAGATGGCTATAACTGAAATTCAGCACTTTGTTACTTCTTATCTTGTGTGCAAACTTTCCACTGAGAATGAATAGAGCATCTAGCATTTCTTTGCACACCAAACTGGTTTCATTTGGAGTTGCCTTTTACTTTGCAAGTTCTAAAAACCCTTAGTGGCAATCTTGTGACAGAGGAGTCGGAAGAGTACAGAGGTGCAGTTGTTTTGTTTAGAACTCAAGAAAATGGTGAAGTTTTTAACTTTGTTAATACACACAGCTATGCAGAACTGCCCCCCATCTCTTAATGAAGAATTCATGTGCAAATGATGTTAAGTTGGGTTGCATGGTTTGATTTTTTTTTATGAATCCAAGTTACCCAGCCTTTATGAATTACTTTTTAACACCATTTTCCTGGAAATTTTGGTATATGTCATCTTCATCTTCTCTAAGTTTTGTGGCATCCCAGATTATTAGGCTGCCATCATGACAGCCACTGTATAGCCTTCCCCTAGTAGCCTGAAAAGTAACATAAAGGACAGCATTATACATGAAAGGACATAGCAATATTATCTCCTTTTTAGTGATTACTCAAAATCAATTTATTGTGAATGAATTTGAATATTTTTTTTAATAATCTTCAAGATTAAGGTCATTTTCTTTTGTAGAGTATCATCTCAGTTTAGAACAAGCATATGTTTGCATAAGGAAAAGGACAGTTGGATAAAATGGAGCAAAATGATGCCACCAGGTACCCAGTGTTTTCAGTACATAATGATGATTTAATAATTGGGCAATCTTGGCTAGAACACCTTAACACTTCAGAGTCTTATGTCTCCATAATGTTAAACATGTTTGAAATTCTCAAGTAGTTTTTTTTTAATAATTATATTGACCTGTACTTGAGATAACAAGCAGAGAACTCAGAGTATCTGTGAAATACAATTTATGGAATTTATGGGTTGGATTCCCATGGAAGCCTGAATATTTCCAGGCTTCTTTTCTGCAATGACATCATTGAGATTAATTCTTTATTCTTCATGGAGGATTATCTTAGAATTAGGATACAATAACACTTAAAATGACTCACCACAAAACAGTTAACTGGTCCTGCTTCTATACCTGCATTGAATGTTCTTTTACACATGCCAGATTTGGACTCGTATACTTTGAGGGTCTTGTCTCCACTGCAGGTAATTACTGGGGAGAGATTGGACAATACAGGTTTCTCAGTAATCTTAAGTTGTCTTATCCCCCCCACTCCCCTTCCCTAGGCCATTATGTTCCCCCCCCCATTCCACTCAGTAGAAGTCAAGTGAATGAGTGGAAATTTTTTCATTTAATTGTGTAGGTCATGCATATCTTACAATTCACAAGGATTACCCAATATTTGTGCCAAACATCAAAAAGGAATGCTCAACCAATATATAATTACATAATTTTTGTTGTTGTTTTTTGTTGTATTCCTCCTTGCTCAGTTTGTTAAGCACTTGTGTGAGAACCAATTGGATATCACTGGCTTGAAATGTCAGTTGTTTAAGTGCTGCACCTATTGCATGGCTTTTATTGGTTCAATTTCTATTATTGGTGGTATGCAAAGCTTAAACACACTCCTTCTTCTATAAGAATTTAATATTTTATAAGGAAAAGTATGATTTTTGCACATTTCCCTTAACAAAGCCAAAATAGTATCATTTAAACTAAGTTATTTTGCTTGAGTTTAATCAATTATTCATAAGAGCATAGACTACCTCTCAGTTATGAACTCAGCAAATGCCATACTAAGCACATGAAAATAACTTGCATATTAACTTACGTAGGCCATCGGAGAATTGTAGATTCTTTATTGTATGTTTGTGTCCCTTGTACGTCCGCGTACAGTCACCAAATTCAATCACCCAGCATTTTGCCGTTTGATCTGCACTACAGGAGTACATCAGCTTGTTGACAACCTTCAGATGTAAATGAGAAAATACTTCTATGGTACACTCAGACTAAGTACTAAAACGATAAAGTCTGCTGATCATTCTAGTAGTCTTCACTGTTGGATCTTATCTTGTTTTCATGCAGTATTAAGAATTAGGTTTAATGTATCTCCCTACATGAATATTAGTAAGTAAGTAAGAAACCTTTATCAATGTGGTCAAGTATACTTAGCTCATAACAGTATTGTGAGTATTGTTTCTTTCTGGGTATTACCATACACAAAAGAAAAGATAAATAAATGAAAAAGAAAATTAATCACAATAGTAATGATAATTGAAAAGAATAAATCTATGAAAAGTATTAAAAGAATGTAAACCAAGTTGATGTTTTGTTTCTAACTAACTTTTTGCCTGCTCCTGTAAGGAGAAATTACTTTATAGTCACACCTGGGAGTGAAAGGGTGAAGGCTGAGAGATAAACAAGGCATTATTTAGCTGATTTTAAAATAAATCTGCTATAATATGGAATTTTGTTGCTGTATTCTCTAAATCAGTCTTAAGATAAAAAGATGGGAGATTTGATGCATTTGAATATTTAAATGAAACTAACAGCTGATTGCTAAAAAATTTATTTCTATATTCTTATTGCTACAGTTTAAAGTCCTTATTTCGATACCAGTATTGTAGTAAATTCTCAGTGACCAAAGCGAAGTTTTGGTAACAGTAATGTCTCATTTAAAAGCTGATTTGTGCTTATGGCAAAGTGTGGGTATTAAGCTAGCAAGCTGTTACATGCATCTGCTCCCACACTCTTCAAAGGTTATGTCATTAATATTTAAAATTTGACATTATTTCTGGAACTGGATGCGATCTGAATTCAAAATAAAGAACTGAAAATGGACCATTTTGATCAGAAGGCTACAGACAACAACAATAAAAAGCAAAGTGGAGTTGATGGTTTCAAATTTGTTTTGCAACTGATATATGAAAGCCCGCTTACATGCAAAGTTAAATGAAGTGCAAAGATGGCCTCCAGCAAGGATGCTTGTATACACGTGTTTATAATATTGCAGTCTATCAGTGTTATTTTTCTGTGTTCAGGGTCCGTTTTATGGCAAATCAACGAAAAACAATGTCGACAACGCCAACAGCGCGTCCTACGTAGGAGTTTTCGAGGCAAACTCACTAATTAGGAAAATAATTATTGAAGCAAATGACGACACCATTTTTCTCATAAGTCGGCTTTCTTTGACAAAGCAGATTCTCCTTTTAAGCTAACGGTGTTAACACTTGTCACCACAAATAATTCATAGACAGGTCTGCAAGTAGCTTGCAAAACCAACATAAAAGCGTAATGAAATTGAATGCATATTGCTAATGTTTCCACGACAACCAAGCCTTTTAGCGCAAATTAATCAGGCAAAATAAAGAAAGGCTCGCATATCATTCCTTGTAACAAACTAAGCGATACCACAAACCCAATTCGTTTAGCGTGCACTGTACATTTTTAAAAAAGTCAATAAACACAATGGCAATTCGGCAACAGTGGAACGATAATAAGTTGTAAGCCATTGAATTTCGCGTAAGACTAAGGTTTTACAGGAATAATTATAATTTATTGAAATAAAACACCCCTGAAGCAGAAGAAGGAAAACTAAGAAATAGCCCAAATTTAATGGGGTTACAGCGCTTCTTTTGTTTTCCTTTTTCCCTTTTTTGTTTGATTCTTATTATTCGCATATCCAAGCCGATAAATACACACAGAAAACAAGCTATCATGTGAAAAATTTGTTTGTCGTCGACGATTGCATTTAGACAGCATTTAGAAACCACAGAGTGTGATCAAATGTAGACGGAGAGATGTCATCGTGTCAATTTTTATCGCAAGATAAATTTTTAAGTGAAGTACTTTTTTTAACCAAGATAGTGAATACTCTAAGAAGAAGTAATTTCGACAATCTTAATGCTTCGTAATAGCACAACAGAATTCAACGAAGCGATAAATTGACATAGAAAGGGAAAGCTCCGTTGGTGCTTGGGTTAAAAATAGGCTTTCAGAAAACAGATAATTTCCGCGCTCTCAGAAAGCCGCCGGCATAAAAAAATCGGCTTAAGAAACCAGTTTGTAAACCAGATGCATTCGTAAACGACACATGTTATTTAAACGATCACTGTTTTCAGAAATTATAGGCTTAAAACGGCTTTGTCATTTCTAATGGATCCTTCAACTGCATTATTATTCATAATTTGAAATTGCATTCATAAACAAGTTCAGGAAGTTTTTCGTTGATTTGTAAGTGTAAACTATTTCACAATTCATTCTTAAAAGGACAAGAATTATATAGGAAAATAACTGGGTATTTATTAAATTATCGTATTCCACACTTAATTCGCGTACCTGTAGCTGTATAATAGCGCCTTGGTGACCCTGAAAAGTCTTTATGGGAGCTCCAGTGAGAAGATCCCAAGAACGAATCGTCGAATCGGCCGAACCAGTAAATAAAGTTTTTCCTTTACCATCCACGGCTAAGCAGTTCACTGCTCCGCCATGTCCTTTGTAAGTAACGAGGCATTCGTTTGAATTCATTCCCCAGCTCTTAGCTGTTCCATCGACCGAACCAGAAATGAGAATGTCATCATTGTTTTCCAAATCTGCTGCGAAAGCCGCTCCACGGTTTGAATCCGACACTAGTAACAGCGGCGTCACCGAAAACCGGTGCCCGCGGAAAGTTCGTAAGCATTCACCTGTGTCTGCATGCCAGCATTTCACTGTTTTGTCGTAAGAACTTGAAAACACTAAGTCCCCTGAGCAAATTACGCGATTTACATTTGAAGTGTGGCCGAGAAATGTTTTAATGCACGCTCCGCTCTCTAAGTTCCACTTTCGAACAGTCTTGTCGGCCGAACTGGTAAATATATACCTTTCCGAAACACACACGCTTATGATATAACTTTTATGGCCATGTAATAATCCTACACACTCTTCAGTCTTTGTATCCCAAAGGCGACCAGTCTTGTCTTCAGAAACGGTGACGATCGTGGTTCCATCATGGCTCATACAAATCGCGTTTATCGCTCCCCTCGTGTTCCTTAACGCTTTTAACAGGTACCCGTCCTTTTTCCTTTCTTCTTCGTCGGTGTCGCCGGCGTTTGAGTTTTTTTTTTGAGATTCCACTTCCCATGATATATTGTATCGAGGCAGAGCAGTCAATATTCTTCTTGTTGAAACGCGCTGCAGATTATCTCATTCTTGGTAGCCATTATACGTTGTCTTTAAAGTTAGCCTTCGATCAGAGAAATAAACGCGTTTTGGAAAACCATATCAAGTGGAAGACTTGCAGAAGGAAGAAACAATTATGGCGATTTTCGACTTAGAAGTCCCATGAAACGAAAATCCTGGACTTCTGATCCTTGTAGCGCGCTGACCTGCAGTAAGAACGAATGAGGAAAATGCATTGGAAACAAGACAAACAGTGCAACTCTGTCGTTCTTGCGGTGTTTCCTGAGTTACAGGAATTTGTAATGAGCTTGAAACAATGTAGTTTAATTAGAGGAGTTGCTATAGTAAGATCTTGGCCATCATTGGCCGACAGTAAGTTTCAAATTAGAATTTTCCCGTCGAGGTGTCTAATAGGACTTATTTTTGTCCGTCAGGATAATAAAATTACTTTTGTCGCAGCAAAACTAGCATAAATCGTTTCCCAAAATCTGCAGGAGAAGATTTTTAATAATGTGTCAGACATGTAACTATAACGTTTTGTGAAAACAATGGACCGAAAACAAAATAAAACAAAACGTGACATAGATTGCTGTATTTCGAAGTTATTTTTTAGCGTTTTCTGCGCTCGCTATTTCTATTTTCTGGTTTTTCCCAAGCGATAGGGTTTTAATTTGAACGCGCTTGGCGATCAGACATATCAGCTTTCGGCTTTGGGAAAGCTTGGCAAGATGTTATCTTTTAAGTGTAAAATGCTCTAATGTAATCAGAAGACCCCAACCGGGAAATTCAGGGCATTAGAAGTTGAAGTTATTGTAGTCGTGTGATGGGGTAGTCAATTGAATTGTAGTCTTTGCTGTTCAAAATGAATCCAGCCACTTTGAACGCAATTGATAGCAGAATTAACAAATCGAAGGATCTCATTACGGAAATCATTTCCCAACCATGGACTTCCGGAAAAGAAAGGAGTATGTGTGTAGCTCTCTTATAAAGGATTGGAAGCAATTTTGGCCGTGGATTTTAAGAGGTTTGTGATGAACCATGCACAAATAATCAAAAATTTTTCAACCTGGTTGTCATGGTGATCACTTCAGGTAAATAAGCAGTACCCCTTTAACGACAAGAGATGCGTCGTTAAACGTGGAACAAACAAACATAGATGAAAACAAATAAAAATTAACTAAACTGAATTTCTCCATAAAGGTTCGGTTTCAGAGGATTCGTCGATCAACTTGAAAACAAACTATTGTTATCGTTTCCCAATAAACATTTTGAAAACATAGTATCAATACAAGAAAGCGAGATTTAGATAATTAATAACAGTAATCCTCGATGACAGAGGCGATGGAAGAAATATAAACTTTGGAAACAAGACTAAAGAATGAGAGGAAAAAAGATACCTTTGACGATAAATTCCCTGACGAAGCTGCTTTTTTTTACTTTACATAGTCATGGGAAATCTTGTGACAAGCTCTGATTCTTTGCCTGTGTTGTCTTATTTTCATTTTTTTTTCCGGCTTTTCCATTCGTGCAGAAAGTTTTAATCGAAGAAGTCTTTACTGCTCACGTCACGTTCTCGATTTAGCCTTGTCAATATTTTTGTTTAATTTGGGACACGATCACCTGTCGCAGAGTCACTCACTGGTGTGCCAGTTTTAATTT